TAATGATAGGAGTGTAGAGTTATTTGTTGTGAGTTAATGATAGGAGTGTAGAGTTATTTTGTTGATGAGTGTAATAATGATAGGAGTGTAGAGTTATTTGTTGTGAGTTAATGATAGGAGTAGGAGTGTAGAGTTATTTTTGTAAGTTAATGTAGGAGTGTAGTTATGAGTTAATGATAGGAGTGTAGAGTTTTATTGATAGGAGTGTGATTTGTTAATGATAGGAGTGTAGAGTTATTTTGTTGTGTTAATGATAGGAGTGTAGAGTTATTTGATGTGTTAATGATAGGAGTGTAGAGATTTGTTATTAATGATTGTGAGTTAATGATAGGAGGGTAGAGTTATTTGTTGTGAGTTAATGATAGGAGTGTAGAGTTATTTGATGTGTTAATGATAGGAGTGTAGAGTTATTTGTTGTGTTAATGATATGAGGGTAGAGTTATTTGTTGTGTTAATGATAGGAGGGTAGAGTTATTTGTTGCGAGTTAATGATAGGAGGGTAGAGTTATTTGTTGTGAGTTAATGATAGGAGGGTAGAGTTATTTGTTGTGTTAATGATAGGAGGGTAGAGTTATTTGTTGTGTATGATAGGAGGGTAGTTATTTGTTGTGAGTTAATGATAGGAGGGTAGAGTTATTTGTTGTGAGTTAATGATAGGAGGGTAGAGTTATTTGTTGTGTTAATGATAGGAGGGTAGAGTTATTTGTTGTGTTAATGATAGGAGGGTAGAGTTATTTGTTGTGTTAATGATAGGAGGGTAGAGTTATTTGTTGTGAGTTAATGATAGGAGTGTAGAGTTATTTGTTGTGAGTTAATGATAGGAGGGTAGAGTTATTTGTTGTGTTAATGATAGGAGGGTAGAGTTATTTGTTGTGTTAATGATAGGATGAGTTAGTGAATGATAGGAGTGTAGAGTTATTTGTTGTGAGTTAATGATAGGAGTGTAGAGTTATTTGTTGTGAGTTAATGATAGGAGTGTAGAGTTATTTGTTGTGTTAAGATAATGATAGGATTTGTAGAGTTATTTGTTGTGAGTTAATGATAGGAGTGTAGAGTTATTTGTTGTGAGTTAATGATGTGTAGAGGAGTGTAGAGTTATTTGTTGTGTGAGTTAATGATAGGAGTGTAGAGTTTATTTGTGAGAATGTAGAGTTAAGTTGAGTTCATGATGAGAGTGTAGAGTTATTTATTGTGAGTTCATGATGAGAGTGTAGAGTTATTTGTTGTGAGTTCTTGATGAGAGTGTAGAGTTATTTGTTGTGAGTTAATGATAGGAGTGTAGAGTTATTTGTTGTGAGTTCATGATGAGAGTAAAGTAATTTATTCTGAGGTAATGGAAAGAATGTAGAGTTATTTGTTGTGAGTTCATGATGAGAGTAAAGTAATTTATTCTGAGGTAATGGAAAGAATGTAGAGTTATTTGTTGTAAGTTGATGAGAGTGTAAAGTTACTTGTTGTGCATGTAATTAACAATGAGAGTGTAGAGTTATTAGTCCTGAGTGATGTGAATGTAAAGTTATTGGTCATTAGTAAATTAATAGTCTTCTTCTTCTTCGATCCTTCTGTCAGAAAACTTATATCAGGAGGCCGGTAGCCTTTATGAAAGCTATCGTCCAATCCCTATCTCCTCGTGTACCATACAGTTTTGTCTTCTTTGTGGTTGAAACAGGCCAGATTGCGTCTCTGTTGTCAGCATACAGTTGACAGTGTTGGAGCACATGCTCAGCATTTTCAGGTGCCTTTACATCTCCGTATTTCCTACACCAAAAATTGTGAACATATGTTGACGAAATCTGTTGTGCCCAGTCCTTAGTCTGGATATTATACACTGTCCCATTCTAGAGAGGCGATGAAGCGAGTCTTGGGGAGAAAATCTGGTGTGGGTATCCAGCCACATTTTTTGGATACTAGATTGTATTAATGTTTGGTGGGTTAAGTCGCTATTTGGTTGTACCATGTCACTGCCGCTTCTGGCCAATCTGTCCTCTATTTCATTGCCTTCCAAGCCACAGTGACCTGGAATTCTCTGCAGTACAGATTGTTCTACTGAAGAGCCTAAGTAAATCAGCTGTTGCGTCAAGTCTACAAACTGAGTGTCTTTTGGGTTAACAATTGCTTGTAGAACTGACAGCATCAGTCAGAAAGACCACTCTGCTATATTTGCTGTGATGTTGTCCATTCAGGAAAGAACATGCCGCCAGAAGTGCTTCTGCCTCTGCTATGTAATTTGAGGAATATCAACCTGTTGGTATAGCCTGGTTGATTTTTAACATTTGGGCATTCTATGTACATTCCTCTTACTGCTCTCTTGGCTGAACCATCTGTATACACTCTAATCCAACTCTGGTGTGGATAAAGTCTAATTAATAGTGAGAGTGTAGAGTGATTGGTCATGAGTTAATTACTAATGAGAGTGTAGAGTTATTGTTCATGAGCTAATTTGTGATGTGAGTGTAGAGTTATTGTTCATGAGCTAATTTGTGATGTGAGTGTAGAGTTATTGTTCATGAGCTAATTTGTGATGAGAGTGTAGAGTTATTGGTCCTGAGTTAATTAGTGATGTGAGTGTAGAGTTATTGGCCCTGAGCTAATTAGTGATGTGAGTGTAGAGTTATTGGTCCTAAGTTAATTAGTGATATGAGTGTAGAGTTATTGGTCCTAAGTTAATTAGTGATATGAGTGTAGAGTTATTGGTCCTAAGTTAATTAATAGTGAGAGTGTAAAGTTATTGGTCCTGAGTTAATTAGTGATATGAGTGTAGAGTTATTGGTCCTAAGTTAATTAGTGATGAGAGTGTAGAGTTATTGGTCCTGAGCTAATTAGTGATGTGAGTGTAGAGTTATTGGTCCTGAGCTAATTAGTGATGAGAGTGTAGAGTTATTGGTCCTGAGCTAATTAGTGATGTGAGTGTAGAGTTATTGGTCCTGAGCTAATTAGTTATGTGAGTGTAGAGTTATTGGTCCTGAGCTAATTAGTGATATGAGTGTAGAGTTATTGGTCCTGAGTTAATTAATAGTGAGAGTGTAAAGTTATTGGTCCTGAGTTAATTAATAGTGAGAGTGTAGAGTTATTGGTCCTGAGTTAATTAATAGTGAGAGTGTAGAGTTATTGGTCTTGAGCTAATTAGTGATGTGAGTGTAGAGTTATTGGTCCTGAGCTAATTAGTGATGTGAGTGTAGAGTTATTGGTCCTGAGCTAATTAGTGATATGAGTGTAGAGTTATTGGTCCTGAGTTAATTAATAGTGAGAGTGTAAAGTTATTGGTCCTGAGTTAATTAATAGTGAGAGTGTAGAGTTATTGGTCTTGAGTTAATTAATAGTGAGAGTGTAGAGTTATTGGTCTTGAGCTAATTAGTGATGTGAGTGTAGAGTTATTGATCCTGAGCTAATTAGTGATGTGAGTGTAGAGTTATAGGTCCTGAGCTAATTAGTGATGTGAGTGTAGAGTTATTGGTCCTGAGTTAATTAATAGTGAGAGTGTAAAGTTATTGGTCCTGAGTTAATTAATAGTGAGAGTGTAGAGTTATTGGTCCTGAATTAATTAATAGTGAGAGTGTAGAGTTATTGGTCCTGAGTTAATTAATAGTGAGAGTGTAGAGTTATTGGTCCTGAGTTAATAGTGAGAGTGTAGAGTTATTGGTCCTGAGTTAATAGTGAGAGTGTAGAGTTATTGGTCCTGAGTTAATTAATAGTGAGAGTGTAGAGTTATTGGTCATGAGTAGAACAAAAAACAGACTGAAGCATCAGAGCCCCAACCACCTTGCTAGAGAACTGTACAGACAGCACAAAGAGATGTTGCACTGTGCCAAAAACTTAGGCCAGAACCATCCACAAGCAAGCCAGAGAAGGCAAATGTAGTCCTAAAGGTACCAGGGATCACTTCAAAATATGCCCAGACAGAGACACAACAGAGAACCCTGGCTCTTGCTATGCTTGATGAGAAGTATCCAAACACCACTTGAACTCAGGTTTTCACCGACGGCTCTGCTACAGATGCAGTCAGAAAAGGGGGGGGGGGGGGTTGTGGAATATACATTAAACCCCCTAGCAGTAGAGCAGAAACTCTGTCTCTACCAGCAGGTGACGTCTGCACTAACTTCAGAGCTGAGGCAACTGCCCTCCTTCCTGCAGTCCAACATCTCATCAATCAAGAATACAGAGGGCACAAATTTGTTATACTTAGTGACTCATTGTTTGTTCTCCAAGCACTATCAAGCAAAAAAACAAGACAAACTAATTGCAGATCTAAGGACCAACATTGGCTTACTCTCCAAGGAAGCAGAACTGGTCTTGCAGTGGATACCAGCCCACTGTGGTATTTAAGGAAATGAGAGAGCAGATGAGTTGGCAAAAGCTGGGAGTAATCTTCCACAACCTCATCCACAACACAGCTACAAGGAAACCAAAACAGCGCTAAAGCAGTCAATTTTTAAGCGGGAATGGAGAAAGCAGAATGGAGATTACAGACCAGAGAGTGACAGCATAAACAAACTCAACAGGAAAGAACAAACATCAATTTTTAGACTTCGGACAGGACACTGTGGTCTTCGAGCACACTTGTACAGGATAGGCATAAAAGAATCTGCTGCCTGTTATTGTGGAGCATAAAGACAGACTCCTGAGCACATACTGCAGTACTGCCCTAACCTCTCCCAGCAAAGACTGTGGATCTGGCCCAAGGGAGCCACATTGCAAGAGAAGCTATGTGGGACCGGTGGCGACCTTAAACGCACAATCCTATTTGTGACCCAGACGGCACTCATCGTTTAGCATGACTGATGTCGAACGCAGAAGAAGAAGAAGAAGAAATTGGTCATGAGTTAATTATTAATAAGAGCTGACACTGTTAATAAGATTACTGTAAACAAACATGTAAAAAAAAAACATGGATATGGTTACATATATCCTCATTTTATTAAAGTCAACAGCCAGTGGATTAGGTAACTATAGCACTCTTGGGAAATGTGGCCATCTGTAAAATCCTCCGGGTCCCTTTTTTTTCAATTTGAATTGATAATGAACTGAAAGAAAAAAGTGACATGTCTTAGTAATACATGAGCATCGATGTTTTTAATAAGTTTCTTATCAGATGTAAGTTGACGTGTAACTATGATGATTTGTTTGTTTTTTCCTAGACAAGAAGGGTGACGGTACCCATCACAAGGTACTTATCCTAGTATGGGTTCTGGGGTACCATTATGGGAGAAACAAGAATAGTCCCACTGCCTGCCCAACGAGCATTTCGTAGGAGTCCACTAATTTGGAGTATCCTTCAAGTCGGAGAGCATCTGCCCGAGCTGAAGCAGGTCTAGAGGTTGCAAACGCAAGAGACGGATGCATGAAATATCTGAGATCCTGAATACCAGCATCTACATAGTTCTCACCAGACTTCTTTGTTTAACACCTAGCGCTGCAGGGCAGAACAGGGCTAGAGAGAACAACGAGAAGATGGTTGGTTGACTGCTAACAGTGATTATTAGAGGCTGTGAAAGCGGAGATTGCGAGAACGGATGTTAACATAGATGTAAGAGAAGTTACACTGTAATAAACAAGACGAACGCAACATCTGGAGAAGATAGAAGGACGATCAGCAGTTAAACGGAGATAATTGCCAAAGAGAAGATACAAACAATAGCAAAACAAAGATAAATGCAAAAGAAAAGATACAAAAAACTGACACACGCAGCAATAAGAGAAAATACACACGTCATTAATACCAGATACACACAAGGCAGTAAGACATACATCATAATAAAAGATACACGCAAAAGTAAGACAATCAGTATATGAAAATCATTAAAATAAAATACACAAATAAAAGAATATAACATATCTGTGAGACATATTGCACATGGCATTGGAAGAATAAACACACGATTAAAAGAAAATACATGTCAGTATCGGCGTCTGTGGCTTAGATGTTGCGAGCGCATCGTAATTCTGAGGTGACTGGTTCGATCCCAGCTGCGGGCGATTGTGGCAAGCCGCCTTGCAATGGTTTCGATAGTGGCATCAAGAGCCCACTATTCTGGGCAGTGGCATGCTACTGAACGTAAACATTGCCTAGTGAAATCATAAACGGCACAGAACTGCTGTGTTAGTTCTGCAATGAAATCGCAACTAACTTGAATACACATCAGTCAAGCATGATACTTTCGACAGCAAGGGAAGATACACAGAGCCACGAGAGAAGACAGTGCAATAGGTGAAAATACACACATTCAGTGAAGATTCGCATCATAAAGAAAAGATACAGCCGTAAGACATGATGCCCATCAATACAATTTCTGTTACTTGATTAATTCATAATATTTAACGGCCTCAAAGGTTCCCCCTCTGTTTATTTATTTCTGTGTGGAGCTCTCGGCAGGCGGCTAGCCGTTCTGTGGAGAGAGACCGAGCCATATGGGATAAAAACCGGTGCATTAACTTTCGACTCTCGACTTTAACTTTTGATTTTAATCTTTTTAAATGTGTTTGTTCTAAAGGTATATAATTAAAGAATTTTTGAAATCGGGGTGTTGGGCGGATATCACAGCCTACATACCAATTGTCTTTTAAGGGCGAATGCAAAAGAAGAAGGAGGAAGAAGAAGACGACGACGATGGAGGAGGGGGAAGAGGCAGCAGCAGCACAAGAAACTGATGATAATAATGTCGGCGATTCGTACCGTGATGTCGCCCATAATCACCGTTGTGTTTCTGCCAGCAAGTAGCACCCGGGCATGTTGTTCCATGGTCTTATGATCCTCTCGCGACAGACGGGTGATGACGTCGTCAAGGACAGAAAGGTCAACCCCGCGCTCAAACAAAGATGTTTTCTCTACAACGCCAATTTTTGGATTTGTGAAACTGGCGTCTATTGACCAGGTCTCTGCGAACATCAGACAGATGCAGAGTAGCGTCGTTAGTCTGTCTATCTGTGCCATTATGCTCTCTGAAAGATATTGAATATAGTCGGCACTGAAAAACGAGAATGATAAGACATCAAAAGACGGAACGAAGCTTAAATCGTTAGAGCTGACTAAAAGTACACGAGACAAAAGGTTATGGATAGATATGACTACCTAAGCCACCTCAAACAACCTGAAAGAAATGTAGACTATCTTGCACAATACATTCTGTGTAGCTCAAAGAAGAACCTTACATGTCCACCCAAACACCTGACTGCGATAACTAAGAAGAAAAAGATTGATGATTCTCGTGAATTTCCAAGAAATTTTGAAGGGGTTAAAAGAAAAAACAAAGACAATCAAGTCCACATAGGTCCGGAGTATCAAGAGGAGAAGGCTTGCCATTCCTGAAGCAAAAATGCAGTCAACTGCGCAGCATCCATTGCCGGGGGTGTTTTGTTGACAATCTTCGACTAAGGACATTCTAGTGATGCTCAGTTGGAGAAAGGTCGGGTGATATTCAACACACGAGCTCGATGGGGTTGGGATTTATTATCCTGGAGGGTGGCATAACCTCCGTGCAGAACCGTCTTGGACCAGTCAAGTTGCCTTATATTGTGTAGAGTGTTTCTTGCCGTGTCTGTAGAAGCCTCCTCAGACCACTACAGAACCCCTACTTTAATGATCCCCCTCTCGGATTGTGTCATCAGTAATTCTCTTTCCTGGTTATCTCAAGACTCGAATCCTGCCATCATTGAACGACACAGTAAAGAGAGATTTTTCGGTGAAACTGACGTGACTCCATTGTTGCCTTGCCCATCGAATGTGCTCGCTAAGCAGCACGGGCTCAACGATGAGCAGGAGTAAGAGCGATTCTGACTGCCGGACGTCGAGCAGGCGGTCCAGATTCACAGAAACATCTTCTAATGGTGCTTTGACTGACACTAACGTCTACATTTTGTCTGACATCTTAGAGCGGAACGAGTCACTGTTCGATGTCGAAGGGCTGACAAAAAGAGGTGCCGGTCGTCACGTCTACTGATTGGTAGTGATCCTCCACACTTCCTGTGGTCTGAAATCTCTCCAGATTTCTTTGTATAATAGAATGTGACACTGCAAGCTATCTAGTTACTTCATAGATAGATAAACCACTTTCAACACATGCTGTAGCCCTCGTTCTGTGTAAGATGTCAAGTCTTCATCTCGACAGCGCAGTTTTTGCAAGTGATGACACAACCCTAAGTTTGCTTTTTGTTAAACAAATAGAGTGTGCTCTATTCACGAACAGTCCTCATTGCACGTCGAATGTAAATCTACACTAATACTTAACCTGTTTGGTTATAAGGAAGTTTTAAAAAGAAACAGATTGAAAATATGAATTCATGGCCAGCAAATTAAATTGCACTCGATGACCATGGCTACATGTGAGTTAATTTCATGCTTCAAGCGCACAGAGGACTGTCATCAGAAGATATATCACCTACATTTACTAAAAACTTTCTTCATTTAAGGGGGCAGTTCTAGCAGGGAATCAGTGGCGTTAGAAAAGAAATCATTAAAAATTCAATTTTAGATATAGGACTCTCAAATTTGCAGACATAATGACCATATGATCAGGCTATCATATAAAATAAACATCTTTGGAATTCAATATATACATGTGAGATAATAATTTTTTTAAGTGAAAAATTTATTTTTCAAATATGCAAAATATAGATGTTACTTTGGAAATATTTTTAGGGAAATGGTGCAGCCAAATTCCTTCAAAATTAAACTGCACATACAAAAATGGTGTGAGTATGGCCCGGACTATGGAAAACAGTACACATTTAATAGATTTTATGTAAAGCTACCTGAAATTTTCCTCTTTTTGTGTGTGGAAAATTACAAATTTGAAACAACATAAAAATGAACACAATCATGATATTTGAATTCCCTTAGAATAGGCTACAACCAGTTATTATGTGAACAAGCATGCAAAATTTCATGCAGATTAGTTGAAATCTAAGAAAGTTATACCAGGATAAGTGAAAAAAAAATGTAACATTTTACAACAAACGACGTTAATTTTTTTAGTGACAATATTTTAGATTTTTACCTTAGTGACTCCCTGTCAAGTAAGGAAAACCTTCGGATTGAGCTTGTACCTCCTCTAATTCTATGCGCCTATATAGTAAAGTAAAGTAAAGATCCCTTTTCATGCCTTTCGGCGCATCGGGCATATGGGCAGAGCGTCCCATATTTTTACAGACCATCAGCACTTTGTGGGTAATGTGGTCAGCATTAGGCCGGCTGTCTTTACTTTCCCAGGACAGCCCATCCTGGTACCCATTTTAGGCTGGGTCGACCTGCGACGTCCCATACCACGACAAAAATCCACGCAGCCTGCAGTGGGTTTCGATCGCGGTTTGCTGGCTTACGAGTCGGACGCCGCTGCGCCTATATAGAGTCCTTAAGAAAGAGAATAAGGGCGTTTGAGCTGAAATGCTATAGAAAGATTCTCAGAATATCTTGGAAAAAGAAGATGAGAAATATTGACATCTTAAAAGATCTGAACATCAAGAAAGATTGGCTAATAAACAGCAGGAAGATTGGCTAACAAACAGCATCCTTTCTCGAAAGCTGAAATATTTTGGTCATTTCAAGCGCCACGACGGATTGGAAAAAATTATAGCAGAAGGCATGGTGCCAGGAAGGAGGGGCAGGGGCCGACCGACACGAAGATGGGCACAGGATAAAAGCGACTCCTTGAGTATGAGGCGGGAGAATTGGCGAGAGACTGTGATGAGAGCGACGTTCTGCAAATGACATGCTACATGATGATGATGTTACCATGTAATAATAATAATAATAACAATAACAATAATTGCACATTTAAACTAGGCTTAAGTCTCGTGAACCTCGTCCCATAAACTTACTGAGGTAGGTATGACCCCTGGGCTGGGGTCATCAGCGGTTCTCTTCCTTACATCTGGAGTTGTTCAATTATTTTACAGGTATTTATATAAAAAAAAAAACTGTTTTTTATCTCCTCTGATAGCTCTTTTGATTTCTTTCGTGTAGATCCTTCATGCATGACAATTTGTTTCTGGACATGGTAACAGGAAAATCAAATTAGGAATATGTTTGAAATAATATATTTTACATAAACAAATATTTGTAAAAAAGAATATCTACAAATTATTATGGCTAGTTAGCCCACTTGCAAAAACTGGGGGGGGGGGGGGGGGGGGGCAGCTTCCAGGTCCCAGAATCAGTGAATAACATTAACGATGATAAATGAAGTGATACAAATAGTAAGATACAATGGCAGTGGTGAAAATATGAACGAATCAATTAAGATAACATACTTGCACTATAGGCTCTGGTCCATAGATAGCCAGGAAATATAACTTGAATGCTTAAGTAGCTTTACCTTACACATCTTTTCAAGTTAAAAAAAGAAAAATAATAATTTGGAATTTTGTGGCGTTATCTCATGACAAGTTATTGCCCTGTAATGTTAGATCGGGTCTCGAAAGTGTGAAATTGTTGGCTACGCTTGTCATACTTAGGTGGCCATACATACAAGAAAAGTTGCACCTCTCTTCTTCTCTCTCCCCCCTTTCTCACCGGAGGTGTGATTGTGATCATGCGCCGGTGTTGGTGTATGTATATATGTGTTGCGTTCCTCACGCCTCTCTCTCTATCTCTCTATGTCTCTCTCTCTCTCTCTCTCTCTCTCTCTCTCTCTCTCTCTCTCTCTCTCTCTCTCTCTCTCTCTCTCTCTTCCTGGAGGTCTGCGTCATGTCGAGAAAAGAGACTTCAAGACTGAATCTGATTTGGTTATTGCTGTCTTTATCTTGTCTTATCTGTCTGCATATATGTCCGTCTATACCTCTCCTGTCATGGAATATTAAGCCATTACGCATCGGTCCGTAAGACTGGTAACCGGACTTACCTGTAATCGGCAAAAATTCAAACTTGCACTCGCCCGGAAAGATATAGTCCCTTATTCTATATATATATAGGCCTTTATTAGACAACATTATTATGTCTACATTTTCTGGTTGCTTTAACTAAACTCCACTTTTAAATGTATATATCTTCGATATATATTAGAGGAGTTGTTTGAGGTTTCTTAGAAACCGATGCACTCCTTGCCCATGTATACTAGGGACTTCTTTTTTTTACCAACGCCTGAAGTGTGTTAGTTAGTTAGTTATTCCTCTTTTGCCAAAGGTGGCGCATAGGGCAGAGGTCATAGCTTTCCACGTCTGTCGGTTCGTTGCCACTTGATGTAGGTCTTGAGTGCGACTGAGACCTATGGTTGAGCTCTCCCTTGTGATGGTTCTACGGAGAGTTTCTTTTGGTCTTCCCTGTTTTCTTTTACTCTCTGGTGACCATATGAAGGCTTGGTGGGGAAGTCTCTGTATGTCCATTCTGAGTACGTGACCGATGTAATTCCAGCGACGCATTCTAATAAAATCAGACACAT